TGAGAAGACCTGGCTCGCAGTCTCTAATTTATCCCAAAGATGTTCTATTGGGTTGAGGTCAGGACTGTGCAGGTCAGTCAAGTTCCTCCACCCCAAACTCGCTCATCTATGTTTATGGACCTTGCTTTGTGCACTGGTGCGCAGTTATGTTGGAACAGGAAGGGGCCAAAATCACAAAGTTGGGAGCATGTAATTGCCCAAATTGTCTTGGTATGCTGACGCCTTAAGAGTTCCCTTCACTGGATCTAAGGGGCCAAGCCCAACTCCTGAAAAACATACCCCACACCATAATCCCCCCTCCACCAAACTTTACACTTGGCACAATACAGTCAGGCAAGTAGTGTTCTCCTAGCAACCGCCAAACCCAGACACGTCCATTGGATTGCCAGACAGAAGCATGATTCATCACTTCAGAGAACATGACTCCACTGCTCTAGAGTCCAGTGGCGGCGTACTTTACATCACTGCATCCGATGCTTTGCATTGCACTTGGTGCTGTAAGGCTTGGATGCAGCTGTCCAAAATGTTCCTATATTTAAAAATGTATCAAGGTTTTCATCCAGTAACTACTTTTAAGGCTTTAAGTTTTTTTTTCTATATCAGGGAAGACACTTAAAGTAATATTAAACCCTAATTTTTTTTCAATTTAACATATTGAGCGCAATAAAAGGAATACTCCTTAGTAAACTATTAAAATTCTTACCTCAGCTGTTTACAGCTTTCAAAGTTGCTGGCTCTTGCTCTCTCAATGCTCTTTCCCTGAACTTTTGGTCTTCACAGGAAAGAGTTAACAGTAGACAGTGCAGTCTCCAGCCAGTCTGTTAGTTCGGAGAAGAAAGGGGGAGAAGCGAGGAGAAGGGGAATGGCTTGGCATCCTAGGCTATGGGGCTGTGTGTTTCTGTTGATGCACACAGTGTGGGGAGACACAGCACTGGCCCCTGCATGCAAAGATGACTCCATAGGCTGAAGAAAAAGGAGTCACCTTTAAACAGGAAACCTGGGACAGTGATCATGGCACCAGTTTAGAATGGACCATAAGCAAGGATTAAAAGAGAAAAAAGCATACTCAGTAAGTGATTAAAACAGCTGTTAAAACTTGATTTGTTACCACTTTACGGGTTTAATAAAGGGCCACATAAAAGAGTTTCTGCTGGAAAGCAATATTATATCATGAATTTATGAAAATACAAATTTACACAAATGTACTTGCTTTCAATGAGAAAGGAAGCAAAACATAGACAATGCGGTGGCTATGGCTATAATTTATGATGTTTTAGACTTGAACAGATACACTGTTTGAGCAACTATGTGGCAACAGAGGTTAAATATTGATAAATGTAAAGTTATGCACTTGGGGGCTACAAAATGCATGCATTATACATTCTAGGAGAACAGCTGGGGGAGTTAATGATGGAGAAGGATCTGGGTGTTCTGGTAGATCATAGATTTATTAATAGCATACAGTGCTAAAGCAGGCAAGATACTTCTTGTAATAAAAGAGGGTTAGACTCCAAAGAGAGATACCTCATCTTGTAGCTGTGTAAAGCATCAGTAAGTTGTGATCTTGAATGTGCAATTCAGTTTTGGGCACCAGTTCATAAAAATGTTGTTGCAGAACTGGAAAGAGTACAAAGAAGGGCCACTTAATTAATATTTACTGTAATAAGAAATAACACCTTAGACTGTTGACCCATAAATCTCTGATTGCTTTAAGGGATAGGAAAGGACTCTTTTCCCTGTTGGAACAAGTTTGACCATGGCTTCTTCTGGATCAACTGTGGGTTTAGGAATTTGGATTATTTTTTCTATTGGTTGAACCTAATGGACTGTACCTCTTTTTCAACCAAATCAACCATGATTGAGGTGACACATTCCTGGTTGTTGTGTACTTGCTGTCTTAGGAAGCCTTTTACAACTTCATCAATACTGGTATAAAAATAAAGAGGTAATGTTTGCTGAGGGCTTATTTGGCCAGAGGTGTGAGTGTGTATTTCCATGCTAAAAGCATAACCTAAGTGCATAACCTTGGTAACAAAATAAACAGTATCAGCCCTAGTAATCAAATTATTTCACTCCATCAAATCAACAGTGCAATAATGCATTCATACTCGTGCACTATATGAAATAGCATAGTTGGCAACTGTCACGAATTAGCTGGGACAGTCACAGACTTTAGAAAGCTGTCCCGATGGGACTTTGTTCTGGGATGCGTCCCGAAAATCACAACCATTCACGGACAGCAACCTGGAGTACTTTTCTGTCACAGAGCGGGTGGCCAGAACTTACAAGTTACTGGATGTCAGAGCCCTGTTATTCACATCAGGGGCACACAGAGTATGCATTGCTGTGCTGCCGTGCAGGCACATTGCGATCCCCCGCTCCTCCTGAGCATCACACATGGCAGTACTATTGGCTCAGCAGTGGGGGGAGTGCCCAGGGATTTGTTTGACAGTGCAGGTTCCTCCCCTTCTGCCTTTTCCTTTTCTGGCAGTGTCCTGAAGGGAGTGTGCAGGCGGAGGAGAGACAACCAATCTGTAGAGCTCTCTGCTGAACTCTATAGGGGAGATCATAGACTGGACCTAAAGGGGGAGAAATTGTAACAGCTGGAGGGGAGCACTTATCTCGTTGGTGGGGAGTGAGTGGGGGAGAGAGGGTGGCTTCCCTAGACTTTGTATTGTGAAACCCAGAACATGTGTACAGAGAGACATGGGGTTAGAATGTTTATCCCACTAATCTATATGCTTGTCATAGATACCTGCAACACCCAAAAAGAGGATCAACTTTCCCAAAGGTTCCATTCACATTTGGCATTTTGGGATCCCGGGCAGAATTGCTGCGATTCTGCTTGCGATCTCAAACTGCACAAAATGCATGTACAGGTGTCATTAATTTTCAATGGCACCTAAAATGCAGCATGGTTTTGCCTTTATTATTGCACGGCAACACGCAGCACCCAAAAAAGGAGCAGGAGCTTCTATTGGGCAACATTTATCGTGCAATATTAATGGTAAAACCGCACCACATTTAAGTACCATTAAAAATGAATGGCACCTGAACATCCATTTTGCCATTTTTGCAGTACGATTTGTGATTGAGGGCAGAATCGCAGCTATTTTGCCCAAGATCCCAAAATTACAAATGTAAACAGAGTCTCCCACATCCCTCTCATCTCTCCCCCCCCCAACTCTCCCCTCTGTCTCTCTCCTCACTCTCCCCCCCAGCTCCCGCCCTCTCTCTCTCCCCCCCTTCTCTCTCCCCCCCCTTTCTCCCTCCCCCCCCTTTCTCCCCCTCTCCACTCCCCCCCCCTCCCACACACACTCTCTTCTCCTCTTCCACAATATGTGTGATCTGATCCCTTGCTGATCAGAATGTATTCTGCACAGAGTCTGCCCCATGTGAAAGGAGCCTTATATCTTCTGTCTTCTGTTCATATTTATTTCTTTCAAATCTTCAGCTGCTTACATGTGCTTTACCTAGTAGAACGGCACAAGGATATGCCTGAGTGTACTGCGGTGATCCCCGCCGGCCTCCACTCCAATCCATTTCAAGCATTTGTGTGTGACATCATGCCAGATGGACTAGATAAGAAGGCCAGCAGGGATCAGTGCAGCAGAACAGGTAGATACGGGACAGCAGCTTCCCTGCACTACTCTGCACTAAGAGGAAACCACTTCTATACCATAGACTGCACCTCTCTGTACTGTGCCCTCCTGACCGCCCTGTACAGTGCCTTGCTGATCCCATGTACTGTGCTGCTGATCCCCTGTACTTTGCCTTACACACTCCTGAACTCCTGTACTGTGCCCTTCTGACCCCCGTACATCAACTTCCTAACCCCCCTGTCCTCTGCCCTGCTGACCCTCAACCACTGCCCTGCTGACGGCCAGTCTTCTGCCCTGCTGATGCCCACATACTATGGACCTCTGGAAGCTTCCCTACATACTATGGAGCTCTAGACACTGCTCTTCATACTACGGACTTCTGGACACCGTTCTTCATATTACAGACCTCTGGTCACTGCCCTACATACTAGACTTCTGGACACCACCATAAATACTACAAACCTCTAGACCCACCCTACATAATACCGACCTTTGGATGCCAGCCTACATACTCCAGAGCTCTGGACACTGCCCTACATATTGTGGACCTCTGTATAGTGTTCTACATCCTCCTGACCTCTGTACCTTGCCCTACATCCTACTGACCTCTGTACCCTGCCCTACATCCTACTGACCTCTGTATACTGCCTTACATCCTATTGACCTCTGTACACTGCCCTGCCTACTGCTGACCTCAGTACACTGCCCTCACTACACTTCCCTACATCCTACTGACCTCTGTACACTGCTTTATATATTACTGATCTATGTATGCCAACCCAGCCACTCTATGCACTATTCGTCCATTTGGTATGGGGGGGGGGGTTCACTGTTGGAATCTTTGCCCCCTTGTTCAGCACTGTACATTCTCTATTTAAACACTTTCACCGCCTTCCAGTCTAGGCCAATTTCCAGCTTTCAGCACTATCACACTTTGCATGGCAATTACTCAGTCATGCAACACTGTACCCATATAAAATGTTTATCCTTTTTTTGAGACAAATATAACTTTCCTTTGGTGGTATTTGATCACTACTTGTTTTTTTGTGCTATATAAATGATAAAATACCAAAAATTTTGAGAAAAAAAATTTTTTGCTTAGTTTCTGCTATATATTTTTGCAAACAGATAATTTTTCTTCAAAAATTTAGGCCAAAATTTTGGGGGTAAAAATAACCCAAAACAGTTTATATTATTTAGTTTGTGTGAAAGCTATAGAGTCTACATATATATTTGAATATTGATTAGTTGAGATCCTAAAATGCTGGATGCTGCTATGGCATATGGCACTGATCAGGACGCTAGTATGGTGTTTGGCTGTGATCAGGATGCTGGTATAGGATATGGCGGTGATCAACATGCTGGTATGGGGTATGGCGGTGATCAGAACAGTGGTATGGTGGTGACCAGGGTGATGGTATGGCGTATGGCAGTGATCAGGACACTGGTATGGGGTATGGTGGTGATCAGGATGCTGGTGTGGTGTATGGTGGTGATCAGGAGGCTGTTTGGGGGATCGTGGTAATCAGGATGCTAGTATGGTGTATGGTTGTTATCAAGGCTCAGGTATGGTGTATGGCGGTGATCAGAACACTGGTATAGTGTATGGCGGTGATCAAGGCGCTGGTATGATGTATGGAGGTGGTCAAGGTGCTGGTATAGCATATGGCAGTGATCAGGGTGTTGGTTTGGGGTATGGCGGTGATCAGGACATTGGTGTGGTGTATGAAGGTGTTTTGTGCACACTGGGATGGGTGACAGGGCCTCCCTGCATTATTTATTATTGTTATTGTGGGGCAGTAATCAGGGACACTCTAGCACTAAGCTGGGGCACTGGGGTGGCTGGCACTGCAGTATGTGAGTGTACAAGCCGCCGGCAGGCTGCTGTACACTAACACACTGCAGGATCGCTTGTCTCTGCTCTCACATTGAGAGCAAAGAGAAGCAATCTTTACTTTCATTTTCCAGTGTTTACTATGTGGGTGCTGTGATTGCCCAAACACAGCAGTACTGTGATCCTCTGTGTCCAGGCGACACCTTGATCACCGAGCTCCCGTCTGTCCATTGTACATAGACAACGGATGAGAAGTGGTTAACATTACCACATTCTGCACTATGCAAGTCATCTCTGACTCTATTTAACCATATCCCCTTTAAGCCATGCCCAACATTTAGTGTATTTTAACTTCTTGTACAGCCACACCCCTAATTAAAGTGATGCCCCGCCTACAGTAGCTTTCTGGATGCACAGAAATAAAGGTGTCCCTAAAAACGTTTTGGAATTGTTGGCAACTATGAAATAGCAATTCAAACGGTGATAATACAGTCCTTCACAATTATAAAATTATGAGTGTCTTTTGTCTTTAAATTTAGATCCTTTCAATTATGTACCACCTCCTGTGTTTATAATAATAGTAACCACCAGTTGTGCGTTCACCTCCACTATTTGACCTTATAATACTGTATATGCTCGGTTAAACACTTTTTGTACCTTAGGATGGACCCAGATGGATTCTTCAGAATGGCGATGCCTCTTCAGCCTAGAGATGCATTCTACCTTAAACTCCAATCTACCACTTTTATTCTTTCCAAAAATGTATTAAAATGCACTCACATTAAAAAGGTGTCAGAAGGCACCAGATGTATATAGCTTTAAAGACCCAAAATTTAACAGTGCATCAATGCTGCATATAAACTCCAACAGTTACCACACAGCCATTTTGTAACGAGCATCATGACGTAATCCAGTTTTGTGTTTTCATCATTTTTGGCACAATAATAATTTAACACTAGAAAAAACTTTCCTATAGCAGTGCACAAGTTTTTTGTATATTATACTAGATGCATAACGTTGCCTTTTATCCTGTCCTTTACTAGCCGTGCACAAACATTCTGTTTTAGTCCCTACATCCTCGGCTTCTTTACCTGGTATGATGTATAGTGTCAAATACTTTTGAAGAATCCAAATACAGTGGGGCAAAAAAGTATTTAGTCAGCCACCAATTGTGCAAGTTCTCCCACATAAAAAGATGAGAGAGGCCTGTAATTGGCATCATAGGTAGACCTCAACTATGAGAGACAAAATGAGAAAAAAAATCCAGACAATCACATTGGCTGATTTGGAAAGAATTTATTTGCAAATTATGGTGGAAAATAAGTATTTGGTCACCTACAAACAAGCAGGATTTCTGGCTCTCACAGACCTGTACCTTCTTCTTTAAGAGGCTCCTCTGTTCTGCACTCATTACCTGTAACAATGGCACCGGTTTGAACTTGTTAACAGTATAAAAGACACCTGTCCACAACCTCAAACAGTCACACTCCAAACTCCACTATGGTGAAGACCAAAGAGCTGTCGAAGGACACCAGAAACAAAATTGTAGACCTGCACCAAGCTGGGAAGACTGAATCTGCAATAGTCAAGCAGATTGGTGTGAACAAATCAACTGTGGGAGCAATAATTAGAAAATGGAAGACATACAAGACCACTGATAATCTCCCTCGATCTGGGGCTCCACGCAAGATCTCACCCCGTGGGGTCAAAATGATCACAAGAACGGTGAGCAAAAATCCCAGGACCACACGGGGGGAACTAGTGAATGACCCGCAGAGAGCTGGGACCAACGTAACAAAGGCTACCATCAGTAACACACTACGCCGCCAGGGACTCAGATCCTGCAGTGCCAGACATGTCCCCCTGCTTAAGCCAGTACATGTCCGGGCCCGTCTGAAGTTTGCTAGAGAGCATTTGGATGATCCAGAAGAGGATTGGGAGAATGTCATATGGTCAGATGAAACCAAAATAGAACTGTTTGGTAGAAACACAACTCGTCGTGTTTGGAGGAGAGAGAATGCTGAGTTGCATCCTAAGAACACCATACCTACTGTGAAGCATGGGGGTGGCAACATCATGCTTTGGGCTGTTTCTCCGCAAAGGGACCAGGACGACTGATCCATGTACAGGACAGAATGAATGGGGCCATGTATCATGAGTTTTTGAGTGCAAACCTCCTTCCATCAGCAAGGGCATTGAAGATGAAACGTGGCTGGGTCTTCCAACATGACAATGATCCCAAACATACCATCCAGGCAATGAAGGAGTGGCTTCTTAAGAAGCATTTCAAGGTCCTGGAGTGGCCTAGCCAGTCTCCAGATCTCAACCCCATAGAAAACCTTTGGAGGGAGTTGAAAGTCCGTGTTGCCCAGCGACAGCCCTAAAACATCACTGCTCTAGAGGAGATCTGCATGGAGGAATGGGCCAACATACCAGCAACAGTGTGTGCCAACCTTGTGAAGACTTACAGTAAACGTTTGACCTCTGTCATTACCAACAAAGGATATATAACAAAGTAAGCAGCCAGTTAAAATGGCAAATCTATTTTCTCTGAAATGTATCTAGTAAAATAAAACATACAGTATGAATGCAATGGTGCTTCTACTGTGGGTTGTAAATATCAACAGTTAGATAGTTTATGAATATTTTTATGGCCATGTTTCCTCTGCAAGCTGGTTTACACAGACAATTTGCATAAATCAAATGTTTGCACATTTTTTACTAGTAAAATGTATTGCTTTTGTTATGCATATTTTTTTACAGTGTTGGAAAATTACAACCATAGCCTTTTTCTTTCATAGAAGATATCTCTGGGCAGGTTGATTTAGCTTTCAGCCTTTTGGATGCTTGACAGGAGTACGCAGATCTAGATATGACATCTGTCACTGTAATTAAAAAAAAATGTCTGTCTTCAGCCAACAATATATTATTTGCACAGGCACTGAAAAGGGTGGAAGTCCAGTGTATATCTAACTGATTGTATGCAGATAACAGCCCTTCACACAGAAAGAGAGGGAGCTCTTCTCTGATAAGTATTACAGCAATAAACCCATATACAATACAACTGTACAATACAGGCACGTTCCCCCATGTTTTATACGGTTAATATCTCAGCAAGTCCATTTGAATGGTACCATTGACGACAATGGTTTGCAACTTGTCATTCGAGATGGAACTGTCAAATCGCATGACAAGTTGTACCGGTGTGAACCAGGGTTTACAAAGTGAAATATATATACACAGGATATTTAATGTCAAAATATGATATGGCCTGGAAAAATGTAAACAAAATAAAGGTGACTACAGCACCTGGACAAGATGGCTTATTCCCACATGTACTTAAAGTGTTACTAAACCCAGGACCCTGCATTTACTATATCAGGTCTCCCACAGTACACAGATCATGGAAATGCAATTATTTTAGTAAATATAAACTGCTAAATACCTTTTCTCATTAGCAGTTAGAGCAGTCTTGTGACTTATATCAGTGTTCAGCAGAGCACTAGTTAAAGCTTGTAGGAGGAGTTGTCTTTCTGCTCTAGGAGGATGCAGAACCCCTGACCTCTGTCTGGACAGTGCTAATTGGCCCTGTGGTGATCACAAGCACTTTCCCAAGAAAAAAAAAAAACCTCTCTAGCAATACACACCAAACTGAGCATGTGCAGAGTGACTCCACACAATATGTATTCATATCAGGAGATAAGAGGAGGACCCTGGAAGAAAGAGAGGATCAGAGAAGTCAGGATCAAACAGCCTTTCTACACAATGCAGAGGATTAACCCCTTAGGTTCCACAGTGAGTATATCTAGCATGCTTTACTGCCTATACAGACTGATTTTTACTGTTGTGGATTTAGTAACACTTTAAAGAGTTATTTCAAAGCCATTGTTTCTAATTTTTACAGACTATTTAATGACTGACATAGTGTGGTGCCTATATTTAAACAGAGATCAAAATGTTTACAAAGTAGATAGAGACTGGTTATTTCAACTATAGTTGGGAAGATACTGGAGAGTTCAATAATAGAACAGAGAACATTTTTTGGCAGGAAACATTATTTTAAGTAATAACGGATGCACGCATAGATTCACGAAAGACTGAAGTTATCAAACAAATCAGATTTCTTTTAGGAGGAAGTAAGTAAAACCTTACACAAAGGGGTCGCAAAAGAGTTTGACACAGTTGCTCACTCACGCTTATGTGTGAGTTAAAGACTAAATTCACCTTTTCCCCCCTAAATTCCAGTTTCTTTATGTACCTGTTGCAGAAAAGAAAACATTTTCGCCATATTCTAGTGCAGGATTTACCTAAGCCTCTAGTTCTTCTCTCTCCTCCATGACTTCCTGGTATACATTCTGTAAGACATGAAAACTGTTAGTAATGTGATGAAGTACTTCAGCAGCTGACCTCATATGAATTTTCCTGGATGAAAAAAGTTGGGACGCTGTGTAAAATCCAAATAAAACAGGATGCAGTGATTTGCAAATCTCATAAGCCCATATTTTATTCACAATAGAAAATAGAAACATATCAAATGTTTAAAAACTGAGAAAATTTAAGAAAACAATATGGTAATGTTAAAATTGATGACAGCAACTAGGAGTGCATCGATACCATTTTTTGATCAGCGAGTACGATTGATACTCTCGGTTAAGTACTCACCGATACTGAGTACTGATACTTTGTGATGCAATTTGTGTCTATAGAAAATGTATGGACACAAATTGCACTGCAAAGGAAAGCGGTTCCCGTCCAAATCGCGTGCAGTTTCCCCACTGCTCCTATGTGAACCCAGGCTTGTCATAGCCTAAGTTCACACAGGAGCAGTGCTGGAAACCTCCCTGCGCTGATCCCATACTGAGAGAAGGGTGTGTGGGGATGTATACCTTGGTATTGGCCATCAGAGGATGAAGGCAGATGCTCTGGATTCTCAGCTGCAGGAGAGGAGAGAAAGCTGTGGCAATGCTCCAGACTCTCAGCTGTAGGAAAGGAGAGAAAACCGCAGGGATTTGAAATCCCTGCAGTTTTATCTCCTCTCCTTGCAAGGATGACAGTACAGGCTAAACGACTTTTGTCATCCCTGCAAGGAAAGGAGAAAAATCTGCTGGGAATTCAAATCCCTGTGGCTTTCTCTCCTCTCAGTGTAGGGATGACAGTACAGGCTAGACGGATTTTGATTCTCCAGTCAAAAGGCGTTTAGCCCATACTGTCATCCCTGCAAGAAGAGGCAAGGCTTTCTCACCTCTCCTACAGCTGAGAATCTGGAACATCTGCCTCCATCCTCCGCCTGATAGCCGACATCAATGTATACATCCCCACAATCCCTTCTATCCCTCTCTCCGCTCAGCATGGGATGAGCACAGGGAGGTTTCCTGCACCGTTCTTGTGCGAACTCAGGCTATGAGACAGGAGCAGTGGGAAAACTGCATGTGATTTGGACAGGAATTGCATTCCTGTTCAAATTGCATGCTATTCTTTGCGGTGCAATTTGTGTCCATACATTTTGTATTGACGCAAATCGCAATGCAAAGTATCAGTTTGGGTATCGGGAGCATTTTCACGAGCACGAGTACTTGTGAAAATGCTCGGTATTGGTGAATCCTTAGCAGCAACACATCTCAAAAACGTTTGGACAAGGCAACCAAAAGCTGGCAAAGTGGTACTAACAAAGGAGAGCTAGGAGGTCATTTTGAAACTAATTAGGGTAATTGGCAACAGATCTGTAACATGATTCCATATAAAAAGAGAGAGCCAGAGTGTCTCAGATATAAAGATGGTCAGCAGTTCACCAATCTGTGAAAAGATGCATCTAAAAATAATTGAACAATTTCAGAATAATGTTCCTCAATGTAAAATTGCAAAGAGAAGTATGGCTAGAGCTTTTTTGTCTGTACTTCCCATGTGATTCACAACAGGAGTGCACTTAATTTGCACTCCTTTGCTGTTTTTAAGGCTTGTTTGTCTTTATTTTTACACCGTGATTTGGAAGTAACACACTTCCTGTCTTAGGGTGTCTCCACTCTGGATAGAGGAGCAAAGGCGACATCTTTGGACAACAGCATCGCTATTCTGGTGTTTAAATTCAATAGCAGGTTTAGACTTGGCTACCAAATTAAACCCAAACACCAGCTAGCACTTTTTAAGCAGTGTGATATGGGGGGAACCTGGGATCACCAACCATTCATGTAGGAAAAGGCAACACTCTTTATTTTCCAAATGTTAAACAAAAACAGCTTGCTTCAGCATAGAAAAATGAAACAAAACAGTCAATATATCTGCTACATACAAATTGGTATTCAGCTCACCACCATCACATGCTTCGGTACCCAGACAATCAGGCTTGACCATTCACTTTGTGACTCCTCAATGATATTGACTTGAAGCATTTTCTGAACCTCCTTCAATACGGCTTTCCTGTGTGCCTCGGGAATGTGATACGTTTTTTTTTTGGGGCGTCACATTAGGCTCTGTGATAATATCATGCTCAATTACACTGGAAGGACTTGGCAGTCTTGAAAAAAAAAATCTGTCTGTTCCTAGGTAAAAACAATTCTAACTGCTGTGTTTGTGGATTTGGTAAGGCTTGGTGAACGTTCCAGGTTGGTGAACTCTATAATTTACGTCACTGATCTTTTCTACCACCTTGAATGGCCCCTGCCACCTGGCCAGAAACATACTCTCTATGGTGAGTATAAGCACAGCCACCTAGGCCCCAAAGTGGAACCAGGTTTGGACTGGTTGAACATCCTTCTCTGTGCTTCTTGTGCCTTCTGTGGCTCCTTTACTGGAGGCATCACCTTAGCAATTCTCTCTCTCTCATTTGAGTGACAAGCATGGTTATACGGAGTAGATTAATTTCTCCAGGTTTCCTTAACCAGGTCAAGCAACTCTTGTGGTCTTTGCCCGTACACCACCTCAAATGGAGAAAACCCAGTAGATACTTGAGGTACCTCCCTAATGGCAAACATAAGCACCAGGAGTAAGCTGTCACAATCTTTTCCATCTTCTTGTACAGCTCTCTTAAACTTAACGTTTTGTTAAAACCTTTTGAGCCCATCTGTCTGTGGGTGATAGACCAAAGTATGCCATTGTTTGATCTTGAACAACTTGCACAGGTCCATCATTACCTTTGACATGAATGGAGTGCCTTGGTCTGTTAGAATTTTTTTTAGTGAACCTGGTTGTTGGGAATTAGGAAAGGTTATATTTATGTGTAAGGGAGCATGGTCATCTTCTGCAATTGGGGCAGTATTGTTCTATGAACTTTGTCCAATAAAATCTGCATGACAAACCTGTAATCTATTCTTGAGGAGGAATGTTGCCAAGCAGAATATTAAATATAATATTTTCTATTGGCATTAATACTTTCCATACATGTACCACTTATACTTCCAATAAGATATTTAGTTATCTTCTTAGCTGCTTTGATGGAAAGGAGAGCATTAATATACAGTATATGTGAACATTTGCCTTGTAAAACTACTCATTTAGTTTAAAATGTGCTCCGAAGCAGAATGCAAAGAAGAAAACTGACCATGCTGAGGTAGATGTGCATCTTTGCTCTGGTATGGTCAGTTTGAAATATGGAATCAGGAGGACTGGCAGGATCACCAGGTATTTTTCAAAGGAAGCAATTCAAAGAGAAAAGGATACTGTTTAATACAATTACATGCTTACGCACATATCAGAAATATGAAATGTTGCGGTAACACACTTTAAGTAAATGTGTTTCAAAGCGTATTTCAAGTCCCCACCTAATACATATATACCGTCAAGGATCAGCAGCAAAGCCTGCCCTGATCCACAGGACTGGGAAGTATAGACATGGCCAGATTTCACCTGCTTATTAATAAAGCAGCTGTACAGCCGGTCACTGCTCAGCCTGTCAATCAATGTCACTAGTCTGTGTTAAATCTTATACTCCTGACTTCCTGTCTCTGATCTGTCACTGATCTTGGCTTGTATATTGACTACACATGTTCCCTGGCATTTGGTCTGTCCTCTATTCTGTGGGGTGCTCTTGAGAAGATCTGGCGATGTGTACTTAGACTATGCACCTTAGCTCTTTTAGGGCTCACACCCTCGCCAAATGTGCAGACAGCACAGAAGGTCCACTATCCAATTTGCCCATGCCACATACCATCCATATGTGTCACTAGGAGCACAAGGCATTTGGAGCACATGCCAGGGTCTGCTGCCCGGGTTGTAGTAAGACGTCTAGCAGAAAATGTCACTCTATCATTGACATTCTCTGCTGCATTCTAGCAGTTCTGGGGGCCTCCTTTTCCTCCCCTGTTCTTCCTAACAGCTCAACAGCCATACAGAGGTCCTTGTCTGCTGCTACACTTCCCACTTCTACAACAAAGGTCAACTGAAATGTATTAAACAGCAGCTCGTTAAATCATTCTAGCTTGTAACCATTCAGAAGTTATGCAACTGCAGCCAATCAGAAAAGGTCTGTTACTATCACATGACAGTAACAAAATGTCCCGATTGCCTGCTGTTCCAGAAAATTTGAATGTTTACAAACTAGAATGATGGAGTATGCTTACGGAACTGTGG